TATCGCTCAGATATTTAAGGTCTTAACCTGTCTTAACCAGTAAATTACCTTGGCATTGTTGTCATAAACAGACAAACAGACTCCAGTGATTAGCAAATTTTACACCAGGTGGAGGCATAGCGTGCTGCCACAAAAGCCATGATAGAAAAGCTTAATAAACAATGTGAAGAAAAAATATTAGATATATAAAACTAAAGCTGTTTAGATATCTTTACTTTGCATATTAGATATGTAAAGTAAAGAAAACTGTTAAAGAAATGCTCCCATTCTAACCATCAACCTCCCAGCAAAACGTAATAAGACATGAAAGTCAAAATGATTAAGAAGGTCTGAACATTTAATATTCAAGGATTAAATAAAGCAATGATAAACACCAACAGCTAAGAACAGAAGAAGAGTGAAACAGATGTCTCTTTCACAGAAGCATGCTTTTTGGAATTTTTTTATTCCTTGCATTAGAGCAGACCTTCCCAAAGTGTGGGGCCCGCCCCCTGGGGGGGGGGCGCAGAGCCATTGCAGGGGGAGGGGGGCGGGAGAGAGATATGAGAAGGGAAAAAAACCCAAAAAACAAGCTTGCGCCCACACAAACGCAAAGTAGGAGATGAAGCATAGCTGAATATGTTTCCAAACCAACTTCATTTTAAGCCAAAGACTAGAAAATATGGTGAAGCATATCTTCCCTTTGGCTTCACCCGCACAAGTGCCAAGGTAGGTCTCCCCTGCATAATTGGTCTTTCCTTCGTCGGGAGCATGCACTGGGCTCTCCAAATCACGGACAAACAGTATCCCACATTCTTGATTTTTAGTTCACAAACACTTCTTATAATGACTAACTACTCCTGACATTTTGGAGATGTTTGCTCTTTATACAGCAAAGTTACAGTGGGATACAAATAACATCAGGCTGATCCTGCCACGATTTGTTCCCCCTGTCTAAATCACGGACAAACAGTATCCCACAGCTGTTTATGTTTTTAAACCCATTTTGCACAGAGAGGCATTTTTTGAAAAATGTATTGATAGCAATGTTGAATATTATTACACAGGAAAAAACCAACTACACGTAAAATAATTACATCGTGACGCCTCTGCCTTTCTAAACGGAGGGACAGTAACTGCGTGTGTATATTTAAGCGTGTAAAAACTGAAGATAATCAGATTAACAGTAACAGTATTTTGTCTCTATCTGTCATTCTGCAATTCATCTCATGTAAAGAATAATGTGGCGCACAGTGTGACGTGCAAAAAGACACATACCTTTGACGTTGCATGATGAACCCTGTATTCCTCGTCCACACGTAAACGCATAAAAGGAGTTTTAAAAAATATCTCAGTTTTTGGTGATTTGAAACGCCGTTTACGTGTGGACGAAACAGTCGCGTTTTCAGAAATACCCTTGTAGGTGTGGACGTAGCGTAAAAGAGTTAGTAGTTTACTTTCTTACTACCTGTAAGTTATTGCAGATTACTTGTATTTGCTTAATTGTTTACTAAATGTTTGAGGTGTGAAATAAATCGCAATGGAGCAAAACATGGGTGTGTGTGGTTGGAGGATGTGTTTGTGCATGCACGCGCGGGGGGCATTTTTCTTGTAAAACAAAGGGGGGCCTAGCAAAAAAAGTTTGGGAACCACTGCATTAGAACAAGTGACCTTTGAGAGGAACCAGAAAAGAGTGGCAGCTCTGTTTTCTGCTCTCTTAATGCATCTGTTGTTTCAATTCTTAGCAGATGTCAAAATATTAGAAGTTCCTAATATTACAACGAAGTATTGGTTTAACACTGGATCATTCACTACAGGGAAACCTCCACCACCCTCACTTTCTGCCTCTGTACACACACTAACAGCATTGGCACTGAAGTCTCTGCAACTGTACACACACTGATGTGTACAGACAAATACCTGTCAGTCACAGTGCCTTTTCTGACAAAGTGCACTGTGATCCACTTTTTCACAAGCTCTGTGCAGTCGTATGTGTGACTCGGTCCAAATGAACTGGTGATGTAAAGGCTGCTGAGAGAGTTGGGTGGTAAAGCTTAAAATCATTCTGGACAGTCAGAGAAGGAAAGAGTTCTGGAGTCATGCACTTGGATGTTCTAAAGGAAAAGATCCTGTGAGCTGTGGTAAAATATGAAAGGTTTTCGGACTTGCTGGAACATAAAACAAAACAGAAATCAATGGAAGCTTTTAAAAAAGTCATTGCCCAAAATCTTCAAACTGAAATGCTAGATCTAAACTATCTTTCCTCCAATAGCGTTTTGTGACTGAACTGTGACTGAGCTTCCCCCTCTATTTCCACACGCACACACACACAGCTTTCTCCGGCTCCTAATCCCTCAGGCTAGTTTTGATTGTTACTTAAATCTTTGTGTTCCTTCCCTCTGAAAAGACAAAAAAATCCCCCCACATTTTGCACTTCTTTTCCTCCTTCCTCACTCAAGTGTTTCTATCTATTATGTGCAGTGACATTCTTTGTCTGAAGGACACTGGCGTTGGGCCAAGAGGCTTCCGCTGGGCTGGCCGAGGCGTTTAATTGAAACCGTAAAAGAACTTTCTTTTAGCACAAAAGCCCTTATGTGTGCTTTGTCACAATTAGATTGACCAGAAAGGCCAGCAGACCTGATAAAAAGGGATTAAAAAAAATGCTGGGATATTATGTTCAGTGTGACATGGCCGCTTGTGGAAGAATTAGTGCAGGCATGACCCGTCATGGATTAGTCAGGCAAAAGGACAAACCTGTGATTAATGGAGTGGTCAGAGGCTACACTTACAACCCAGTTTCACAACACCTCCTGCACACCTCCCATGGTATTGTAAACTGTCCCTCTCGACTGCTGTCCAGCACAGCACCTCAGAACAACAGGGTGCAACTTCATCCTGTGAGGTCGCCCGCTGTGAGGGTGCAGAGTTTGGCCTAAAGGGGGCGACACAGTCAGGTTGCCAGGAAAATCTGTTACGTCAAACAGCCCAGTGTAGTCAGCCCCAGTCAGCAGGGCCCAAACCGGTGGAGTGAGGTGCCCCCACCCCCAGACCAAAATATAATTTATGCCAACATGAGTAGTCCAGGAAAAGATCAGATTTGACCATCCTCAATAAATCACATTGTTCTATTAGAATTACAACATGGATAAATATAAAATATAGATGCAGTGCCCAGGTCCACAGTTACCACACACTGATGGTGACCTAGGCTAATATAATACATTATAATACAACAGCATGTTCTATACTTTGTTATTATTTTGCCACATTATTTTATTATGACTTTTTTTTGCATGCATTACAGTAACAAATTATTACCTTTTAAATATATAACAATTAGAATACAAAAACACACATTTATGAACAGCTATAAATAGCATAACAAAGTAAACTTGATATTTATTCCTAAACAGAGAAACAAATTTTCTAAACAATGAAACACATATTTGTAAAATTGATATTTGTTTATTTAATGCATGTCCAACACGTTCTCACTCCCAAAGTGTAACATTTTAGGTTAGGTGACAAATCGTCTGTATATTTGGGTTTTTCACCTGCCCCTTGTTGGTCAAGGTAAATAAAGTAATAACCAAAACATTTTTTACAATGATTGGGCTTTGAGCGTGATTTTAAAACTTTGGTACAGTATTTTGTAAAAGTTTATAGTACCAGGAAATGTGGAGGTTTTAATCAGGTCTTAGGTGCCGTAAAGATTTCATTTAGCTCACATCTTGTTATAAATGTTAGTCTGCTCCAGGAATAAAGGCAACCTGTCTGTTAGGACAGCCAGAGGTTTAAATGACAGTATAGGGGGAAACAATGATTTTAAGCATTCACATTTATGTTAGCACAATAAACTGATACACTTCAGTTAATGTAGCAACAAGACAATCAGAGCACTTTTTAAATAAGAAATTCTCTCAAGTTGACAGATAAAACAAGACACACAGTTTAATTGAGTGAACACCATCATGAGGACAGATACTTTCTTCTACAGTATGACGCCTCTGGGTCTCTGTCTGTCCCAGAAGGGTTAGATTGGGGTGAAGTGCCTACTTAGGCGAAATATTTTGGGTAACTGCCAAAATGCCCAAGTGCCGTTTAAGATGGCAAGCATTTGGATTTTTAACAGAGCTCTGTGGGAGAGCTGACTAAAGGCATCCCATTAATAACAGAAATATAAATACTGCACATGACACATCCCAGATCTGACTAGCTGCTGCCATAAATAAGAAGAATCAAGCACACCGTTATAAAAGAGGAACAAAAGAGCTTGGCACAGCATGACAGACTCACCAAACACTCACATTTTAGTGGTCAGGAGATCAGGTTTTTCCCTTTGATGCCCGAATGGCTGAACTTTGATTAACAGTAATATTTTTATGTTTTGGATTTTGATACCAAAGTATCAGGACACAAATTTGATGGCATTCTTCATATTTCATAGACTGACAAATTCTATCTAACTCTATTTTGCTCCTGGCTCTTAAACATCATGACTCTTTAGGACCCGGTCATTGCACAATTGCACAAAGCCTGTACACAATTCTGTTAACAATTCCAACAAACAGACATACCAGGAAACTGATTTTCCTAATATGCCCTGTTATACTAAAGGCCTGCATGCAGATCATTTCCTGTAAACCTACTTTACAGTGACATTACTCTGAGCTTTGGTACACAGCGGGCTGCTTCAAGGTGGATTAAGGCTTGCCGCTGTGAAACCAAAGTTATTCTCAGCTCCATCATGGCCCTAACCTCAATTCCAAAGCACTTTAAAAATAGGCAATAAATAGAGCACTGTTACATCCAAGGACCCTGCTTAGCATTTCACTTTGCAGTCACACACTTTTTTTTTTGGCTAAAGATGTGTTTATGTAGCCGAGTCCTGTGTGATGTTTAAGGCTGTCCGTGGGTCACAACCTGCTTATTCAACTTTAATTCTCAAACACTACATTTGCATTGAAAGCTAATCCTCCAGCATGAAATTAATGTTCCTGTTTCTGCCTCATTATCTGCAGGTTAAGTCGTGGTGTGTGCAAGCTGCCAGCATCAGATCATCGTCCTCAAAGTGTGGAGGCAAGAAGGAAAGATGTTGGGTGCCCCCCGGTGGAGACTGTGTACTGTGTGCAAAGTGCTCCCCGCTTTCCTTTCTGTGTTTGTTAGTTAATCACCATCTGCTGCTGCTGCAGTTAGTTGTATAGCAAGAGTGGAGAGGAAAGGTGAGTATTCTCAGTCAACCAGCTTCTCATGCAAATAAATGGTTTTAATGGCTCCACCGTGTGATGAACAAAAAAGCTTCAAAAATACTGGTTGACAGTTTGACTTGGTCCTGTCACTGAAGATTAGCTTCCATTAGCTACCACAGCACTGATGGGTGGGGAGGGTCAGCTGGTGTTGTGAATCAGGCCGCTGAAATGTCACGCACGGCTTTTTCACAACACCAGGGTTCCTCCCTACTACTTCCTGCTAGGACACATCCACCACATGTCTCTGCACAATGCTGTACATTAGAATACAGCAAAACACAAAGTGTAAATGTACGAGTTACTAACAAGTTTGTAAAGAATGTCATTTCATTGTTAAACAGTAAATAACTATTAACTCATGACTTATTACCAATAGTATTGTGTTACCTACCAGCTTTGGAACAGTTTGCTGTTATCACTATCATCTACACTGTTGTGCCCTTTTGAAACTGAAAAAAAAATGTATATATTAAAAAT